TATGGGGTGAGGATCAAAAATAAGGCGGTTGAGGGTGTCTTAGCGTTTGAGGAAGATTTGCGTTCAATCTTGTGATCTTTATCTTTGCTCTTTGAGTGCTGGATTTTTTTGTATCTTTCTCTGTTCTTTTTCTTTACTTCTTCATGCTTTACAGGATCACTTTTTAATTTTTCCCTAGCTCTTCTCATACTCAACTTCTTCTCTTCTCTCCGTTTCTTCAATTTTTCGTCTCCTTCTTTGCCTTTTTTGCACGGCTTTTTATCGTTTGCCTTGGGCATTATTCTCAGTCTAAAATAAGTTTTGCATACAACAAACTACAAAGATTATTACAATATCAGTCACTTCCATGGACACTGATCACTTCCGTGGACAGAGAGTCCACAGAAGTGATGTCCACGAAAGTGACAGAATATACAAAATTATGCTTTAAACATGCTTTAAAAGTAAGGTTATGATCTGTTTGCGGAAAATATCTCTCATGTTATTATAATAATGGTACCAAATCAGAAATAGAAATTATTTTACTATTTTTTTTTTAGCTGTTTTTTCCAGGCTACAGAAGTGATATGTTGATCTTGTCACACCTGTATTTTAATAACTTTTTTTTATATAACAAAATAACGGTCAACCATAACGCGCCGACGTTTGCTCACCAACTAAACCGCATGGTTAGAAATATCATCACCTGTTTTAGCGACTCTAGCGCCATCTATTATTAGAACACCGGATTTGTTTTATGTCCACGGAAATTTATTAACACATGGGTAACGGTTTCAAATATAAAGGTAATGTTTAAAAATAATAAATTTTAGACTTTTTAGGCATTTTAGAGGGTTGGCTAATTGTGAATCTACAAAAAAAAATTAGTTCATAAAAAAGCACTCATTACATTGTTATTTAGAGTGAATTAATATAGAGCATTTACAAGGTAACGTCCACGGAAGTGACTTTTTAACACTTTAATTTTATTAAAATCCAAGCATATTTTTATAGAAATAAACTATAGGATTAATAAGCACTTTTGTAGTTTGTAATTTAAGAGTGGCTCTTTAAATATACTTTTTATTTTTCATTTTACATTAGGTATCAGAGGTTTGAACGTATTTTTAAGAATAACCCACATACAAATAACTTTTTAACTTACACTGTAAATTAAATGTATTGGTTTAAGATTACATTGTGTAACTTAAAAAAAAACAATTTATACAGATGATATTTTTGTCAGGGCAACCTGCACATCTCGTGGAACACGGTTTTGAGTTTTTTGTTGCGTGAACACTACAATACTTCTCTGAAAAACAAAACGGTGAAATACAACACAGCGACCTTTTTTATCATACTATTCCGATGTGTGTGTATTTTCTTAAACAACGGTAGTCTCAGTTTTTTTGACATAGTTTAGCAACCAGGTTTTTCTATTCATTGCTTTGTTATAAAGAATTAGTGCGTGTATAACTGCAGTCCAGTCCCTGTCAGAAGCTCTATTCTTACCGTCCTATACCAATTAATTGATCTTCGAACTGGGTTCCTGTAAGATGACCTTTGATCCAAAACATCAGTGTTTTTGGTTCTTTTTTACGTTTCTACTTCAATCATTTCGGGAAGATATTTTGTTGTTAAGAAGCAGACGTCACGTTTATTGACCTATTTTCCAAATATAACTTGTGTTGCTTTGGAGAGCTGTCATTTCTCCTCTTACCAGTTTCTTAGGAAAAACTAGCTTTAGATTGTACTTTCTATTTCTTGTCAGTGTACCAATCAAGCGGATATAATTATTATTAAGTTGATGTGCTAGACTGACACTTGTATATACAGGGTGTTTATTAATTGAGTGCCGATACTTAAGTGTGTGAATCCTTGGGTGATTTTAAGAAGAAAAGTTAATATCAACATATGTCGTAAATCTCTTAATTTTTGAGCTACAGGGTGTTACAGTTTTAAGAAAAAAATATATTTTTTTTCATAATTTTCTTATCACTGCAGATATTTCTATGAAATTTTGTAAACACCTTTTAATCATTAAGGAGCATTTTTTGACGTATAAGATTTTTTAAATTTTTACCAGTGACTTCCGTACGGGGTTTGAACTGAATATTTTTGAAGAAAAAAATGGTACGCCACTGCTTTTTCTAAAATCCAAAATTATTTTTGAAATATTCATTTATTTTTGAGCAAATTTGGCCCATAGACTTGCTTTCGTACGATGCACTGTGTTAACGTAAAAAAATAAAAACCAAAATTTTTTTTTTAAGCTGCTTTTGATTTTTTGTTGAAATTTGGTAGGCACCCACCATGCGTGAAAACACTTATTTTGGGGCAAAAATTAATTTTCTACTTCCACCAGTGACGGCCACGTAGGCATCATATTGAATGTTTGGATAGAAAAAAAAACGTACACCTCTGATTTTTTTTAAATTCTATGTATTTTAAAAATCGGGATTTATTTATAGTAAAATGAAAATTCAAAATCTTGAATCTAAAACGAAATTACAAGAGAATACAAACAAAATAAAGAACCCAAATTATTTACAGTAATTGTTGGAAGTGTCCTCCTCCCACACGTATGCAAGCATCTACTCTTCTTCGCATAGACTGACGCACATTTTCAAAGATTCCTGGGGTGTTTCTTATGGTTTGGCAGCATACTGTTATACGATTTCGTAGCTCTTCTTCGGTTTGAATCGGCACTGCGTACACTAAGCTTTTCAGATGCCCCCAGAAAAAGAAGTCTAAACTATTAAGGTCGGGAGATCTAGGCGGCCATGACTGCGTTCCTCCGCGACCTATCCACCGATTGCCATAGGTGTGATTTAAAAATTCACGCACTCGTAAGCTAAAATGTGGAGGCGCACCATCGTGCATTAGCCACATCTGGTTTCTTAATAAAAGAGGAAGGTCTTCAAGCATTGGCGGCAGATCATCTTCAAGGAAGTGTAAATATGATTGTCCATCAAGTCTTCTTGGGAGAAAAAATGGGCCTATCAAATAATCATCAATAATGCCAGCCCAAACATTTAATGAGAACTGTTCTTGATGATTTGACTCAACAATTGCATAAGGGTTTTCATCCGCCCATAATTGGTTATTATGGAAATTTATTATTGAGTTACGAGAAAAATTAGCTTCATAGGTAAAAAGAATGTGCCTGTCAAATAATGGATTTTCCAGCAGATTTTGAAGAAACCACTCACAGAAATTAATGCGCAACGGGAAATCTCTAGGGAGTAATGCCTGGACTCTTTGAATGTGATATGGGTATAACAAATTTTCGATGAGAATTTTCCAAACAAGTACATGTGAAACATTAAATGTTGACGCGATTCAAGTTCCGGTCTCGTGAAGACGTCTATGAATCCTAGAAAATGTTCTCGGATCGGGTAGTACGGGATTTGGATACCGCTCTTGGTATATCCGTCTGGCTTCGTATGCATTTCCGTCTGCAAGCCCATAACTAAAATGCATGTCAGCTAATTCACTGTTCGTAAAATTTACCATTTTTTTCAGATTTTAACTCTTACTCTAATAATAATTATTTAATAATGTAAAATCAATGTCAACTTTATTGTCTTTATGAAAAGAAACGTCAAAAATGATGACGCTTTACCCATTTCATTTGCTTTAAGAGGGCAATAATGCGCTTACCATTTTTTTCTATTCAAAACGTAGAAAATTAATTTTTGTCCCAAAAAAATGTTTCCACGCATGGTGGGTGCCTACCAGATTTCAACAAAATATCAAAAGCAGTAGGTATCAATGAATTTAAGGAATAAATTTGACCAACCACTACAATGGTTTTTATTTTTTTACGCGAAAACGGTGCATCGTACGAAAGTAAGTCTATGAGCCAAGTTTGCTCCAAAATAAATGATGATTTCAAAAATAATTTTGGTTTTCAGAAAAAGCAGTGGCGTACCATTATATCAACGTTCATCCTCGTACCTTGTAATGGTTAATTACCCTAAACAAAAATCAAAAAACAAAACGGCTGGTGTATAACTTCCACGTAGCCTCAATTAGAATTAAATTTAAAAAAGGTCAAGGTTCAGGGAAAATTAACGAAAAATTTATTATTGAAACAATTGTGCGGTAAGGTGATATGTAAGGCAGTTAGACTGAAATTTAGCCTTGATCTAGTTACGGAAAATTACTTAATTACTACGAGAATACGGGGCGACTTTCAAGGGCCTACCAAGGAGTTAATATACAGACAGTAAGGAAAAAGATACTGCCGTCGCGGAAAGCACCTAAACCAAGGATGTTCCAGCTATCATCACCACTCTCACGTTCAAGGAAATTATACTATTTGTAATTACTTAAAAAGCCTGGGTTTCTATGCAGAATTTAACCAAATGGCTATTATCGTGGATAGCACAACCCCGTCAAAGGAAGTGCTTGCCCGTCAAAAGAAGTGCTCTCAAGTCAAAAGAAGTGCTCTCAAGTCAAAAGAAGTGAAGAGTGCAGGGAAGAAAGGGGAAGGTCATTTTTTGATGTTTTTGAGAAATATCAATTTTTAATGTTTGAAACCTTATTTTAGATAGAATAATGACTTATTTGTCACTTTTATAATTTAAATAATTCAAATAACTACCTGGTAACATTTTCGAAAAAAATAAAATAAAAAATTACGTATAAGAGTGCGGCAAGTTCCCATAATAGTTAATCGCCTTCTCAGTGCTGCATAGTTCCTTAAGATCCATTAAATCGCGATATTTCCCTGCAGATATTGGCTTCAAATCTGAAAAAGAATTAAATAGGATGTAGTAAGGTTCTCTTTATGATGTTTTTCTTACCAAAATAAAGTTTATGTGGCAGGACAAACTGGCCATCTGGAAGCTTGGGTGTGATTGTATTTTTCGATGCAACAATGTGTTTGCGGATTATTGAGGTGTTCCAGCATCCATTGTATGTGTTTCTGAACTCAATTAATCTAGGTTGTTCTTGGGAAATTTTTACTTCTCTAATCTCCCTTGATTTGTATGAATGTTTGGTGATATAAATTAAATCCAATAATTCCGTCCAATTTCGAAGAAGTGCTTGGTCAACTTCAATTACAGTAAAAGGTTCTGGTTTTACTCTGCATGATTTTATTTTATTAAACCAATCTTCAGGAAGTTCAGCAGGAATTTTTTGATTAATTAGCGCCATGTCCCTGTCGCACTCCATGTAAGAGTAACCCCGCACCGGAAAGATCACTTGTATAGTGTCTAATCTTTTAACAACATGGACAACGTAATGCAAATACCGAAACACTGTAAAGTTCTTATTTTGGCCCCCGCACGAGTCACAGAAAATGCGCAAATGTCTAACTTTACTACTCAGTTGAACAAAAATAAAATAATGGAGTAAAGACGCGACGTCGTTGGATCCTTTTCTTCCAATTATTTCTGGATAACAATAAAAGGTAGCACTGTTTGTTGATAGCACGTGAATGTTAAAAGAATGTAGGGTAAGTTGCCTTTTATAATAGATTTCATTGGTAGATAGATTTGGCATGGGTAGGTTTTTTTGAAAGTCCATCGCAATACATTCAAAATCAACTTGCTTCATGGCTTGTTTTCTGGCCAATTTTTTTCGCTGGTAAAATACCTCAGCCTTCCTTTTATGTATGTTATTCTCCAATGTTTTTTTATTAATCTCTGCTTCAATGCTTCTTTTCATTTCGTCAGTTACATCTGTACCACGTAGCTTGCTTTGAAGAACCTCAGCTAAAAACTGGTCACTTTAAAATGGACACGCGGGAAAATCATAGCCGGGGGAATAGCTACACCTGAGGCCCCAACTATACAACAGGTTGTTACAAGAGTTCCACGTTCGGCACTGGTTACCTTACTGACTTGCCGAACACCTTTACAAGCAAACACCTTTTGTGATTTCTGTACTGTTTGCGTCCCGGTTTCATCTAAATTGAAAATTCTGGTTCCATCTCCAAATGCAGGATGACGCTGTAAGACTTCTTCTAGTTTATTAAAAAAAGACTCCACATTAAATTTATTAAATCCAGTGGCTCTTGATAAACTGCAGCCTTCTGGGGTTCTGAGCGCTAAGATGGGGTGTCTTTTTTGAAAGCCCTTTACCCAGGCAAGGGATGCTGATTGGCACGCATGCCATTTCTCAGGAATATTTATTTTATTTCGGATTGCGCATTCATACACTAACCGACGGGTGTCATCTCGAGAGAGTCCATAAAACATTTTTGCACATGTAATAATATAACCACAAATTTCATTCTCTTGCTCTGAAGTGAAAAATTGATTGACTGTATAGTTTGGACACATTCTAACATCAGGATCGTTTCTAAACTTTTGAACATATCTGGCAAGAGTCTGAAAAGACAAGCCTTTTTCTCTAGCGGCTTGACGGATACTCATTCCTTGTTGGACTAACAGAACAGCTTCTCTCATTGCTGTCACTAAATCGCCCCACTACCCTGTCTGTTTTATTCTTTCTTGGCATTACTATTGTCTGTAATAAAAATTATACCTGGTCAGTAATGCCGCTATGCAATAAGTAACACTAAGACATGCATTAGGAACACTGAGACACGTCTCACTGTTCCAATTATGACTAGTCTCAGTGTTCCTAAACCACATTTTTTATAAATACTTTTCACAAAATATTAAATCTTGAATTTACGAGCTAAAAACTATAGTCATGTGCTACCACGACACTAATAAACACTTCTAGTAGACTTACCTTGTTTAAATTGGTATTAACCAGGAAAAATTCTAATTCAAAGAGGGCTAATAAATTTCCTTTGTCACACACTAAACTGATCATCTGTTACTGCTTTTTTACTTTATCAACTAAATTGCATCTGATGTATTGAGAGCCCTCTGTTGGTTGGTAGGGTTAACTTAAAGAAAATCTTTTTAGTAAAAATAAAAATCGGTACAGGGTTCGGAGCACACCCTGTATGTGGTGAAGAATAAATTAAACTAAAAACTTAATAAAGAAAATCTTTTTAGTAAAAATAAAAATCGGTACAGGGTTCGGAGCACACCCTGTATGTGGTGAAGAATAAATTAAACTAAAAACTTAATAAAGAAAATCTTTTTAGTAAAAATAACAATCGGTACAGGGTTCGGAGCACACCCGGTATGTAGTGAAAAATAAATTTAACTAAAAACGTAATAAAGAAAATCTTTTTAATAAAAATAAAAATCGGTACAGGGTTCGGAGCACACCCTGTATGTGGTAAAAAATAAATTAAACTAAAAACTTTATAAAGAAAATCTTTTTAGTAAAAATAAAAATCGGTACAGGGTTCGGAGCACTCCCTGTATTTGAAAACTGAACTGAACTAACGGTCCTGGCTAGATAATAACGGAAGTAATTATTTTAAATAATTCGGTTATTTAATAAAGAAATCACAAAAATAAAAAAAAACGGGTAGCTACGACGCTTCCTGTATTCGAAAACTGAAACTCTCAATTCGCAGAATTAAATTAAATAATGATTACGCGATAAAGAAAATACAGGCGGCCTACAAGCAAAACCATTCAACTAAATATAACGAGCATTTCGGCGAACCCCTGTATTCGAAGAATGAAAGCTAGCTAAAGTTTGTGATAAATCCTTTGGATATTTTCGACCGCCGCGTTTAAAATTATATTTTCAGATCGGAGAATGAGACAGCCACTTGAAAACTGCTGGTGGAGCGGTTTACCCGGCAAATGTCTTAATTTAAATGAGTCAGGGAGCGCCTCAGGCCCATTCAATTCGGAAAACTTGCCAGGGTTGATTTCGCGTTAAACTGTGACTTACAAACTTGTTCGGCGGATTGTTCGAGGATCCTAATTTTGGGGTATATTGGGGGATCCACAATAAATCCAAGAAATAGGACACTGGACAATGCAATCGCGCGTAATAATCCCGATAAACTTTAAACTGCGGTCAGCACTGCGACACAAGAAAATTTCTGAAACGGAGTAACAGGCGAGAATAAAAAAAAATAAACAAAGCAGTTCACCTACCTTTAATAAAATGACGGATTTTAACCACTTTTAACGCACAAAGAGCGACGGTGTCAAGTACCAAAGAGACGCAGACGGTGCCAGAAACAAAAAAGAGGCAAACGGTGTCAGACACAAAAGAGGCCCTCCGGTCATTGTCTATCAAATTTATAATATCGGTCTAGAGCCTCCCACTCCGGAGCAGGGGAAAGCCACTTCCAGCTTTGGTGTGTTTACCAATGACGGGAAAAAAAAGTCCTTATCCACCTTGACAAAAATAAGTAGATAATTTTATTAGATATGAGTCTACAAATGCCCACTCGGATTTCGAGAAATATTAAAGTATTTTAAACTACGAGGGCGCTCGCAATTGTTTAAAAAAGGGAAATTCTTGGGAAACGTAAATACGGGGGTGCTTCGAAATATACAGAGGCGGGAATTAGTAGATACATTTTTGTTTAAATAAAAATTAAAATTTGTGACTTCGTCACAAGCTATCTAGCTACCTGTTGCCTATAACTATTTAGTGTTCAATAACAAGATAATGGGATTTACTACACTACAGAGGTTTTAAACTGTGTGGGTACTTTTCCTGTTTTAAAAATCAAATTAATCATATTCACTAAGGGATTTAAGAGATGGATATGTAGCTGTTTGATAATTTTAGTAGTCAATTTATCTAACCCCGGAGAGCAACAATTTTTAAAACTCATTATATATTCAATAATTTCATTACGGTTTGTCGGTTTTAACTACATTGAATAGAGAGGGCTATTTACAAATTGAAACGATCTGGAGGACTTTTAATTTTTTCGGACATTTCTATGCCTATGCGAGTTCTGATTAAATTTGTCTGCTGTAATAGTCATTTTTTGCAAATTTAATTATTTTATTAAGGCGATTTCTATATTCTATGTATTCCGAAACCTTTGCTGGAGATGGGTTGACCTAAGGGTTCTTTTTAACCCATCTCGATTTTTAATAGATGTTATTGCATTTGTTATCCATGGTTTAAGCTTGTTATAACTATTTAGGGTGTTTTTTTTAAATTCAGACGTTTCTATAATTACACTTAACTTTCCTAAAAGATAATTTGTAGCTTCTTCTGCTTGATCAAATCTTAAAATGTAAGACCAATCTACCTCAGATGCGAGATAATTTAGTTTATTCATGTTAATACATTTAAAAACATGTTGGCTATTTGATGTTGTGGAATTTAAAGTAAAATGGTTTGAAATGTGAAGCCTAAGAGGTAGATGGTTAGTTATGTCATGTTCTATAATGAACGTATCCATTTTTGTAGAAAAGGTTTTATTTTTATCTCTTATAAATATATGGTCAAGGCAGGATTTACTTACTTCTCTAGTGACTTCCTGACATAATGGAACAAACCCATGCGAAAACATTGAGGAAAGATATCTACTTACATCAACATTGTCCCTATTAAGAAGATTTATATTAATATCACCCATTAAAATATCAATGTTACTATTACTATTTACAGTAGTTACAAAAAACACATCCAATTCATTCAAAAAATTATTTATATTCGAAGAAGGAGACCTATATAGTGCAAATATCCTATAGATAATATTTTTCACAGATAATGTAATTTCCGTTATGATAACACCTGAGTTTTGCAGTCTATAGTTAACAAAATTTAGGTTTAAATTTAGCTTTGAATAGATAAAAATTCCATCAAAAGGGTTATAGTTACCATTGTTGCAATATGATACCTTGATATATCAAACTGCAGTACAGATTCTAATTTATGACATTCGGTCAAAACTGTAATATCACAGTAATTATTAATATTATAAGTTTCTAAAAGTATCAACAAATTATTAAAATTAGTGGGCAAACCTCTAATGTTTATATGTAGAAATATTGACAAGTTTTTTTACTACATTTACCGTATTGGCTAGATCATTCGGATTAACTTTCAAGCTAGTGTTCACAGACTCAGGTATAATCTCAAAAATTTTGGTTGTAGGATCAGCCATAGTTGATTCTTGATCTTGCGCTATCTAGTCGGTATCTGTATGTAGGGCATTCCTCATCGTTAGCCTTGTGCTCAATGTTGTAACTTGTTGAGTATATTTTGTTTGCTTAATCACAATTGTTACACTTAGGTTTTGACGTTATATTCATACTTTTTTTTTCTTTCATGCTCTCTAGCACAATTACAACAAACTGGTTTATTGGTACAGTCACTATACTTGTGGTTAAACTGTTGACACTTAAAGCACTTAAGTATGCTTACATTTACCTTTCCCATCCTATATAACTTTTTTAACATTCCATAAACAAGTGACACAGCTTAGGGGAACATTCGGCGAACACAGTTTTATACTTTTTTGTTTTAAAGGACTTAATATACGTAACTTTAAAGTATTCTTCGCCTATAAATGGCATATTTATAACTAAGAACAACTATAAACACAGACCTCTCGCTTTGTAAACGACAATGATTACTACAGCTTATTAACAGCCGTCTACTGATCGTACTTCATACATACAACGTAAAATTAATCGATGAAATCCATCGTGACGTCACTGATGAATCCAATGGAATGGCGATTGAGAGGGTTTTCAGATGAATAAAAAAACGGTTGACATTGACAACCACAGATTGACAACTGACAAGCAACACTCTGTGCAGTAGCACCTGTCTGCAGGTTCCCACTCCACTGTTGCCATATTGTA